CCTGACACGTGGTCCGCGGCCATTTTCCCGCCCCTGACACGTGGTCCGCGGCCATTTTCCCGCCCCTGACACGTGGTCCGCGGCCATTTTTCCGCCCCTGACACGTGGTCCGTGGCCATTTTCCGCCCCTGACACGTGGTCCGCAGCCATTTTTCTGTCCCTGACACGTGGTCGTAGGAGGGGGACTCTCCCTCCAAGCAATAGCCGCCTCCCTGTCCTCCACGCTGGAACGGATTAACGGTAATTACATTGAACCTTATGGGAAAATTTGCTTCAGGTCGCCACCAATTCGGGTCACGACCAGAGTCGTGGAACGAATTAAATTCGTGAACTGAGGTTCCACTGTACATTTTAAGTTATTTCCTGAAAAACATAGAAGGAGGACACGCACTAGTATTTTTTCCCCTCAGGCATGGTTATAAACGGTCAAGGAATTGGCTCATCCCTCAGGCCAGATCCCTCAAGATGTCCACAGGGAAGGTAGAAATGAAGCTATGACAATATTGCTGTTATTTAGGAGACAGGAATGACTGAATCCACCCTTCTTTCTTTTCCTCTAAAAGGAAATTCCATTCCAAAGGAAAAGATTTTCAGAGGATTACAAAAGCTGATTGATGAATTCCAGCCTGGGAGATCTGGATGCTACAGGAAAGTATTATGGGTATAACAATACCAATCACTCATATGAGTACACAGAAGAGACCACCTCTTTTGATTTCAGATGGATTATTTTGGTAGGCATTACTTTTATTACCTGCTGTATTGGCCTCCTGGGGAATGGATACATCATCTGGCTACTTGGCTTCCAGATTAAGAGAAACCCTTTTACCACATTCGTCCTTAATTTGGCCATTGCTGACTTTGGATTTCTAATATTTTTTGTAACTGAATGGGTTTCTCATTTTATAAAAAGCATTATTTTCATCTCTGATTCTTTATCTGTGTGTGTTTCTGCCACATCATGTACATCAATAGTCACTTTCTTCTGACAGCAATCAGCATCGACCGGTGTGTGTCTGTCCTCTTCCCAATCTGGCATCGCTGTGCCCGGCCAAAACACTTGTCCTCCAGAGTGTGTGTCCTCTTGTGGATCTTCTCTTCGCTCCTGGGTGGAATTCTGAACTTTATGCAATTAACAGAATATTTTGGAGGCCTGTTTAGTCTCCAATGCCTCATGACTGCTGTAGTTTCCTTTCCATTGATCACCCTCTCTACTGTGGTCCTTTTCATCAAAGTGTGTCTTAAAGTGAAACATAAAAAACAGGAATGCCTCCTACTGATGATCTTAATTACTCTTCTCTGTTTCCTCCTCCTTGTTTTTCCTTTAAATTTCTTTGTGGTGATAGTTGATTATTTTAGTATCGAAGTTCACTCTAAAGTGACATATTTGGGTTCATGCATTATACTGTGTTCCTGCCTAAACAGTAGCATTAATCCAGTGATCTATTTTCTGGTTGGGAGAAAGAATCACGCTCAATCCAAGCAGAGCCTGAAGGTCGTTTTTCAAAAGGTCTTCAAAGAAGGTGAAGCTACTGGAGGGAGATAGACCAGTTCAAACCCACTTGCAAGTCCTCTGTGCTTCTTTCTGAGTGGTCATGAATAAGAATGCACTTAAGGCTACAATCATATGGGTGCAACTAAATCTCTTTGAAAAGATTGGCTCTTTCATCTGAGTAGACATATAAAGGATTGCATTTTAAGAGATTATACATCAGTTCATAACTAATGCTCTGCAGGAACACTGCACGCATTTTTATAAAAAAAGTTTACTTTGCTCACTCTAAGTAAGATTTTTACAAATACAAGGAGGGCGCCATCCCTCCACCCCCACCTCTTTTTTCCAAATGCCCCCCAAGGGCAATTAATTCATGAAATGAAGCATCAATAAGTAAAATTAAAATAGAACCAA